CTGCATGGGGATGTCGTGCCTGTCACCCCCCTCCAGCCCCACACCCCAGGCGCCCCTTGGCAGCCGAGGGACCAGAGGCAGAAAAGAGGCTTTGTGCCTGGGGAGGGGGAGGCCCGGGACAGCATCCAAGGGGCCGCCCCCAGGCCCAAGAATGTGGCGGGACTTCGAGACCCCCGGAACCAGGGTGCCTGCGGGCTGCGCTGAGCTGCCTGAGCTCGTCTTGCCCCTGTCTTCACCCCAGTCCCTGCTGGGGCGGCTTCCTGCCCCTCCGAGGACCCTTCAGCCTGTCATGGCCCATCTGTGTCTCAGCACTGTGGCTCTAGAGTCGACGCCATCACCGGCGTCCTGGCCCAGCCTCCTGCCTTGCAGTGTTGGCTTCCTTTGGGCAAATCCCAGATTCAAGGAGAGTGGAGGATTTTCTTCCCCATCCTCTCCCCGGGGAGCTCAGATCCCAGTGCTGCACCCACAGGGGTGATCTGGGTAGGTGACTTCTCTCGGGGCCTCAGTTTCCCCTCTGTAAAATGCAGAGCCTGACAGTCGCGATCTCAAAGTCAAGGCGGGGGTGGGGGGGGGACCTTGTGTGGAAGGTGCGGTACTGGTGTCCCTCGGGGAAGCCCCTGGACCCCAGCCTCCTGGCGTGGCCCTGTGTCACGGTCCAGGAACAAGAAGGACCAAAACGCCCATCAGCACTGCGCTCACTCAGAGCTTAGCGTGACACCGTGCCCTGCTGGAGGAGGTCCTGCCGTCCCCAGGTGCAGATGGACAGAGTGAGGCCAGAGTGGGGCAGGGCTCGTCCGAGGTCACCAGGTTAGGGAGCAGCAGGGCCAGGGCTGGAGCCTGGCCTCCGGTGTGGGGTTCGGGCTCCGTCCACCCCACCCCCACCCGTGGGTCTTCTTTCTTTCCTCTCCTTTTCATAACGGCCCTTGGCCCCCAGCCCTCTTGGCTGCCTCCTGCAATTAGCCCCTATCACTGTTCCGGATCACAGCCCTGGGCCCTGTGGAGACAAAGTCCCCTGGGCCCCTTGTGGCAGGGGGTGGAGGGCAGGTGGGGGGGCCCTTGTGGGGGCAGCCGGTGCCAGGCCGAGCTGGTCTGGCCTGTTTTCTCTCCTCCCGGCAGCCTGTGGGGCCGCGGAGGTGCTGAGTGGGCAGGAGTGGCAGGCCCAGCAGAGGGGTGCTGTCTCCTCCCAGCCCCTGCCATCACCCCGTCCCACAGGAGGTAACGCAGCCTCAGCGGGGTCTCAGGCGGCTTCTCACCAAGCATGCCCCGGGACAGAAGCCCCCAAGGGCAGCAGGCTGGAGGCGGGCCTTCCAGGGGCCACGCCCATCTCTGGGAAACCCTGGGTCCTGGCTCTCCTGCCCAGGGCCGCTGTCTGTCCTCAGTCATTCAGTCATTCAGCAAACCTCCTGGGCGCCCTTAAAGCTGAGCCCCATCCTGGCTCGGTCCCCGCCAGTGCCCTCCCCCAGCACCTTCGGGGGGTGGGGGGAGAAAAAGCTCAAAGCTGCTGTAAGTGGCTGGGATGGGGGAGGGATGCCCTGCAGATGCCCAGCTGTGCCCACAGCCTCAGGAGGCTCAAAAGGAGCTTTCCAAAGCAGGGAATCTCTGCAAGGATCGGAGGTGGGGAGAGGGCACTCACGGGGAGGGCAGGGAGGAGAAAGGGCGCCAGCACAAGTGTGCAGGGCTGAGCGGTCAGGGTGATGGGCAGCGTGGGGAATGTGGACTCCAGGCCGGTAGTGCCCCTGGAAAGTGGGCAGAGGTGCCAGGCTGGAACCCTGCTGAGGAGCTCGGGTTTTATCCTGGCCACAGCAGGGCTGGGTCTTCAAGGCCGGGGGGGGGGGTGGGAAATACTTTTTGGTGACCTCCCCCTACACCAGGTGAAGGGCACGAGGGGCTGACCTTGAACCCCACCTGGCCTGACTGTCCTCTCCTGTCTAAAATCTCTGCTGGCCGGTCACCAGCTCGGTGTCCCCTATGCAGGGGAACTGGACTGGTGAGCAGGAAACCGGGGAACCAGACAGCAATTCACACAGGGGAGATCTCAACTAAGGAGGAAGAAAACAATGGGCGCCTCTGCCTCAGGGTCACCGGCCATGGGCTCTGCAGAGCTCCGGTGACGTCTGGATCGGGATGGGCTGCTCAGAGGCCCCTTTCTCTGGCTCGCCCACCTCTGTGCTTTCAGCGGACTGTTTCCTCCTCTGGGATTGATTTCCGTGGGACTCAGAACAGTGAAGGGACGTCCCCAGAGTCCCATGGGGAGTTTGTCCACTGGTTCCTGCCAGAGACTTTTTCCTCCAGGTGGGCCGGCAGCCACAGGGCTAGGTTTCCGGGGTGGGGGACACCTCCGCAGAGGCGGGACATTCCAGGTGCTCACCGGCCCTCAGCCCTGCTCAGGGTCACGGGCCTGGGGCTGGGAAAGGAATGACCGTTTCAGGTGACCCTTCTCAGCTTGAGCCCCCACCCCACCAGACTCTCCTTTGTGGCCTGGAGTCCGGGGTCAGCAGGTTCCCAGGCGGAGGCCTTCACAGAGCCACAGACCGTGGCCCAGGGGATGGGGAGGAGACGGGAGCCCAGGCCCCTGGGAGGGAGGCGGGGGTGGGCTGAGCATCCATATTCCTGGGTTCAAATCCAGACCCTCCACGCACCAGCTCTGTAACCTCAGCAGTTGTCTCCCCCTCACTGAGCCTCAGTCTGTTGTTCAATTCCTCAGTCGTGTCTGACTCTGCGACCCCATGCACTGCAGCACACCAGGCCTCCCTGTCCTTCCGTGTCTCCCAGAGTTTGCTCAAACTCATGCCATCCAACCATCTCATCCTCTGTCTCCCCCACGTCCTCCTGCCCTCAATCTTGCTTCAGTCTACTCCTCTGTTAAATGGGGGTGAGGGGTGGGGGGGTTGTTCCCAGCTGTGGGAAGATGATGTGAATATCTTTATTTTTTAAATAGTTATTTATTTGACTCCTCTAGGTCTTAGTTGCAGTGTGCAGGACCTTGTTCTCTGATCAGGGATGGAACCTGGGCCCCCTGCATTGGGAGCTCAGAGTCTTAGCCACTGAACCACCAGGAAAGTTGATGTAAATACCTTTGCTATACAGTCGGCGCTCAATATGTGCAGCACAGAATGATTATTCAGTGGCATTTGAAGGAGCCAGTCCTCCACACTCGGGAAGGTGACCCCGCTCCCGGCTGTCACTCAGAGGGGACCTGAGCATAAGTGAGGCAGGGCCTCTCTCCTACATGCCTCGGGGAGGGAGGGGCAGACGTGACTCACCAGCTGAATTCAGCGCGACAGGGATACAGAGTGGAAAACCACCGCTCTGCTCAGACGGGGGCGGAGGTGGGTGAGACCCAGGGAGAGTGGAGACGGTGGTGTGGCCTGGAAGGATGAGGGCTGGAGAGCAGATACCGAGGGGATGAGCCCCAGTGAAGACGCCCCGCTCCCGTGGGGCCCCTTCAGCTCATTCCCCAAGACTCCTCCAGGGCTCCCAGCACAGCGGCCCACCCTTGCCCCCACCCAGGGCTCTGGGATTCACTCCTCAACCACAGCGGCAGGGAGGCTCCCACCAGGGCCCAAGGGCTCGGGGGGCTCCAGGGTCTGCCTGCCTGGAGCCTCGAGGTTTCCCGAGAGAGAGCGCACGCGCAGGCTGCGGGAAACTCCCGAGCTTTCTGCCTGCTGGCCTGTTTCAGGAACTGGTGCTCCTACGTGGTGACCCGTGCCGTGTCATGCCACGTGCAGAATGGCACCTACCTGCAGAGGGTGCTGCAGAATTGCCCCTGGCCCATGAGCTGCCCTGGGAACAGGTGAGCGAGACCGTGTGGATCAGGAGTGCTGTGGTCGAAGGGCTGGGGCTGGGGCTGGGGGGAAGCCCGGGACCCCAAGGGTGGGTGGACAGAGGGCCCGCTGCCCATTTCCCGGCACCTCCCGTTGGCTCTTGGGCCACCCTGGAGGGCTTCCTGGGGGAGGATTCCCCCATTCACCTGCATATCTTTACTCAGTGAGTGTTCACGGCTGGAGGACAGGCCAGCCCAGCTCACAGGGGCTTCCTGTCCAGTTATTTCTTGATTCCCCCACCCCTGGCCAGGGGCTGGGGAGGGAATGGAATGGCTGAGGCCCAGAATTCAAAAGGTGAGAAGCTCCAGAGAGGCCTGGAAGTGGCAGAGGATCCCAGGACCCTGGGTGTGTCCTCACGGAGGGCAGGAGAGGGGGCGGGAGGTGCTGTCTGAGCCGGGCCCCCCGGGCGCTCTTTCAGCTACAGGACGGTGGTGAGACCCACGTACAAGGTGATGTACAAGATGGTGACGGCCCGCGAGTGGAGGTGCTGCCCCGGGCACTTGGGGCCGAGCTGCGAGGAAGGTAGGACTGCCCTGGGCCGGGCCAGGTGCCTCCCCGCAGGTGCGCGGGAGGAGCCGTGGACCCTGGGTGTGTCCTCACGGAGGGCAGGAGAGGGGGCGGGAGGTGCTGTCTGAGCCGGGCCCCCCGGGCGCTCTTTCAGCTACAGGACGGTGTGTAGGCGCTGAGGGCCGGAGCACCACGCGTACTGGGGGCAGCTGCGCAGAGCTGCCAGCCAGGCGCACAGCCACGGTGGGTGTCTGCTGTCCCACGGGGGTGGACGGGACCCTGTCAGGACCCCTGGAGGAATTTCCTGTGTGATGTGTGGCTCATAATCTGAAGTCGCACATCCCAAGCCTTTCCTCCAGACTTGGGGACATTTCCACGGGAGGTGGTGATGACGCAGGGAAGGGTCAGCAGGATGGGGATGGCTGCACCCCATCCTGCAGGTTCTAAGACCAAGGCTCAGGATATGAGACGGGCACGCAGGTCCTCAGTGGTGGGATTCTGCCTGGCTTCCCCCAGGCCCTCAGTGATGGGAGGACCCAGCTGGGCAACCTGCTGGGAGCGGAATGTGCTCCAGGCAGAGGCACCCCCTTACCACATTCCCTTCCCTGCATGCAGCTCAGGGGGCTGGGCCGAACACCCGACAGGGGTGCAGAGGAGGCAGCCCCCACCTCTTCGAGGCTACCACAAGTGCTGTCTCCTCCAGGGGGTCTGCATATGCTGAGCGGTCCAGACTGCATCCACCCTCATGGTCTGGCTGAACCCAAGGAGCGGAAGATTTGGGGGCCCCCAGATTTGTGCTCCAAGAATGGCCATAAGGAGGATGGACGGGCCCAGAGCCAGCCTGAGAACCAGGCCTGAAGGCCCCTTAATGGAAAGAGGTGCTGGGGCCCCCCAGTAGCACATTCATATGTGTATCAGTCAAAAGACATCCTGGTTCCAGAATCAAGGGACCATGATGCTATGGTCATAGATGCTTGAGAGACTTACCCCCTTCACCTCCCTGGGGCCCACGGCAGCCCCACCTCACAGATGGGGCGATGGAGACCAGGAGAGGTGAAGTCACACAGGTGGGGGGCAGACTCCCCACGGAGAGGGGCAGGGAGGGGCCTGGCGGTTTCCATGTGGGGTGGGAGAGCCCCCAACCCAGTGGCGGGAGTCAGGCAGCCAGAGGGAGGGGGCAGCCTGGGTCTGGTAGGGAGAGGTGGTCACCCAGGCAGGTGTGGGAGGGGAGGGGAGGGAGGCGAGCCAGGAACTGAGCCCTCCCCGACCTGCTGGGGGTGACGGGGGAAGGCAGAAGGGCCCGGGGCCGGGAGGGCATCCAGCCAGGAGGGGCTGCCGCCAAGGAGGCTGCAGAGACGCTGGTGGTGAGGAGAGGGTGAATCCCCAGGGTGTGGGGGCCCCCCGGGTGCAGAGCACCTGTGCCCAGGCAGGGCCTGCCCAGACACGGGTTACCCTGTCCTTGGCTCCCCTCCCAAGGGCGGACCCCCCCCAAGTCTATTGGGCCATCGCAGGCAGGCGGGGGTGAAGGACAGGTGGGGCGCGCCCACGGCTCAAGCGCCCCTGTCCTCGAGTCCAGCCGCCAGAGGCCGTGCGTCCAGGACCATGCCGAGGGCTGGGGCTCTGGGGAGGGCGAGTGGGGGTGGGAGACAGGCCTGGGGTGGGGTTGGCCCTGACCTTGCGGGGCCTTGGAGTTCCAGCCTGGGGATGAGGGCTTCCTGGGCCTGGCCCGCTCAGCCACATACCAGCTGTGTGGCCTTGGGCCGGGGACGCCCCATGCGTTGTGCAAGGGCATTGGGCCGGGGAGGGGAGGCTGCGCTTTAGGCAGAACTTGTGGCCCTCGGGGGCGGGGGGTGGGGGTGGCCGCCTTCTCTAAAGGGCGCCGAGCCGCCTGGTGCTCCCTCCTGGCATTCTCCTACGCGGGGCACCCGTGTCCTCACCTGTGAAATGGACAAAGTCACTCAGTCTGCCTCTCGGGGGTGTTGGAAGGACGTGAAGCGGGTGGTGTGGCCGCGAGGGGGGTAGCATGGGATACCCACTGGGATGGGAAGAGCCTCTCCCCACCCACAAGACCAGAGCGAGTAAAGGGAGACCCAGGCCTGCATGTTCCCGAAAACTGCCCTGGGGGTGGGGGGTGGGGAAGCATGAGGACACTGCCGGCCCACAGGGGGCCCTGACCTTCCTGTGACAGCCGGCTTCAGGCTGGGCCCCCAGCTGTTGCCCTGCTGACGGCTGCCCCGTGGTCTGTCCAGTGCTGTGACGTGACCTGAGGCCAAGGAGCTGCGTCACCAGGGCCAGCGGGGCCCAGAGTGAGTCAGAGGGAACGGAAGCACCTGTCACTCCAGAATCCTGCCTGGACTGTGCTCTGCTGTGTGACCTTGGGCAAGCCACTTCACCCCTCTGAACCCCATCTCTATTTGGAGTTCACCTGGGATCGAGAGGTGCCCGTCTCGTACCTTACTGAGAGGGCCAGAGGCTCACATCTCCAACATGGCTGCTTAATAAATGTCTTCCTTTCCCCTTTGGCCCCCTGTGCTGGGGGGTCTGCGCTGCCTCCCAGCTCTGAGACCCCCCCTTCTCCGTCAGCTGTTCAGCAAACAGGCCTCTAGTCTCTGGTATTCGTGAGGCCAGCAGACTTCTGGTTGGGAGTTTTGCTCCGTGAGGATGGTTGAGGCTGGTCTCTTTGATGTTCTTGATAATGAGGAGGAAGGGGCTAGAACAGGCCTCTTCATGCAGATGGAGAAACTGAGGCTCAGAGACGATGTGGTATCACTCACGGTCACACAGCAAGTAAGTGTCCTGGCCGGGATTCTCCCCAGGGCTCAGACCTGAGGTCTGCAGCGTGCCCCTGCCTCAGACCCTCCTGCAGTCACCATGATGACGGGAGGAAAGCTTCCACCGGTCCCCTTTGCTGAGCACCAGGGCTGGTCCTCACCTGCATCGTGCCCTCTTGTCAGGGTGCCAGAGGTCTGGATGTGGAAACTGAGGCAGAGAGAGTGGTCAGAGCGGGATTCAAAGCCCTTCAGTCCCACTGGAGCTGGGTCTTCCCTCCGCAGTGACGCTGGCCGGGGACTTCACCCGGCGCGTTCAGACCCCGGAGTGAGGCAGCCAGCCTCAGCCCCTCCCAGACAGAAAGACAGAGAATCCAGGCTCCTCACCTGCCCCTCCCTGTGGCTCCCCTAGAGCCTCCACTGCCCGCCTCGCTGTCCGCACTGGTCCCCCACACCTGTCCCTTCCCTCTCCGTGGACCCCCGCAGCCCTTGTCTTCTGCGGTGGGGGAACAGCAAGGGAAGAAGTTTGCTCAAGGTCACATGGTAGGAAGCACTTTCTGGGGCTTCTGCCTGTCCAGGGCTGGGCCCTTCCCGAGCACAGCTTTCATGCTCTGACCAGATGTGCGGTGCAGAGCGGAGCCCGTGTCTTACTTCGCAGACTCGGAATCCCGCATGTTAAACGCTGTTGGAATTTGCCCGGATCTGCCGTCCACTCCACTCCCGCCACCGTTCCACTCCCGTCTGGGGGTCTCGAAGGCCCCCACCTCCAACTCCTCGGGCACATCCTCCACCCCCTGTTGGGAGGCTCCCCCTCCGCCCTCCCAGCTGTCTCCGCCAGGTGCCCCAGCCTTGCCCTCCCTCCTTTTCAGCCCGGGGCCCGCTCTGGCCTTGCTCCCACCCCAGAGCCTGGGCAGTGGCTGTCCTCTCTGCCTGTGACCTCCTTGGCGCTCCTGCCTGGCTCCGTCAGCCCCCACCCTTCCATCATTAATCCTGTCTCTCCGGTTCCCGGCATAAGTCTGGCGTTAAGTGGGTGCACGGGAAGTGAGTGGGGGACCTCGTGTTCCCCCAGGAGGGCCCAGGACCGACACAGATCAGGGCCTCCCAGAGGGTTGTTGGAGCTCCCAGCCCCAGGCCTGACCTTGGAGCCTGGCTCAGGCCAAATATTTACATTTGTAGAGTAAATTCCCAGGAGGGAGCTGGGCTGGGCAGGGGAGGTCTGTGGTCGCTGGACCCAGCGGACCTGGGGGGAGCGTTCCGGAGGAAGAAGCCCCTCGGACAGAAAGTCAGAGGTGGAGCCCAGGGACACCCCCAACTCCTCACACCATCCCAGCTGAGGGGGGATTTAAACCCCGTGCCCTGCCTCCTTCTCCCTCCCACAGCCTCTGCTCCCTGGGCGGCAGTGTTCTCACGAGGAGCACAAGACACTGGGTGGTGGGGGGCGGCTGCTGCGGGGCCACAAGACTGGAAACTGCAGATGGCGCGGGCCCTGCGGAGGTCAAGGTGGAGTGATGAGAGCTTTGGCGGAGCTGGCTTTAGTGGGTCCCCTGGTCTGTCCAGGAGGACTTTCTGGAGGAGGAGACATGGGAGCAGCAGCTGTGGGAATGGGGAAGCAGCGTGTGTGCATGCGTGTGTGTGTGTGCGTGTGTGCGTGCGTGCGTGTGTGTGCATGTGCGTGTGTGTGCATGTACGTGTGTGTGCGAGTGTGTGTTCAGCGCTGGCCAGCATCTCCCAGGTGGGGGATGTGGTCCCAGGGAAGTGGTCCAGTCAGGGTCCCAGAGTAGAGCCAGGGCTTGTGGTCCTGGGACTAGCCTGGAGCTCTTTGGAGGGCAAGGTTGGAGCTGGGGAGGTGCCCTTCAGGATGGACCACCAGGCTGGGGTGAGGGGGTTCTCAACCCACTGGGGCCTGCTCCAGGGGTCCCGATTCAACACCAGTGGGAGGGATGTGACATTTCTGTCCTACAGGAGACCTTTCCAGCCCGAGGATTTTTCCCTACTGGAATTTTGTGTGTTATAGGACCATTTGGGCTTCCCTGGTGGCTCAGTGGTAAAGAACTTGCCTGCCAATGCAGGAGACTCGGGTTCAATCCCTGGGTCAGGAAGATCCCTTGGAGAAGGAAATGTATTCCTTCTCCAGTATTATTCCCTGGAGAATTCCACGGATAGAGGAGCCTGGCAGGCTTCAGTCCATGGGGTCGCAAAGAATCAAACAGGACATAGCAGCTAAACAATAGCACCATTTACAACCTGGCTCAACTCTTGAAGTATTTCTGTCCATTTATTAGAGTTTGGGGGAGTTGAGGGGATCATCTTTTGTGAATCTTGAAACCAGAGCCAGTATCTTCTGGTGTTTTTGACAGTTTTTGTTGTTTATTTAAACTTTCTTTTTTAAAAAATTTTAGCTCTCAATTTCTTTGAGCCAATTACGTCTCCACTGCTGGTCAGGCCATGTTTTCATTAGTTTTTCTAGTTCTCTCTGACTCCTGGTGAAATGGCCCAAAGCAACTAGATTGAAAAAGAATTTGCAACCACACGTTTATAGATTAATAACTCGGGGACACCCTAGCATGATGTTAGAACACTTACGTTCATTTTCAAGGCAGCTGTGTCTGCCGTCCACATTATTTTGCCTTTTGTTTGGTTGCTTTACATTTATTTTCAGCCAGCGACTCATGCATTCCTCCGTAAGAGGTTGGGTGAAGCTTCTGAGGCCCTACTGCGTGCTGGGTACTTTCCCCGGCCACATGCAAGATGGATGAGGTCCTTGCCTGGTGGGGCTCACATTCTAGCCGGGGGGTGGCGGTGGGGGAGCAGGAGATCAGACTGGGAGCTGGCAAGCAGATGACATTTTTGAGGTGGAAAGTGCTGTGGAAAACAGGGAAGACGATAGCAGGGTGGTGGGGAGGGCGGGCAGGGCAGATGCTCTGCCAAACTTCACCCCAGGGCAAACCCACACTTCCCCGGGGCTGGGGGACGGCCGCTTCTTTTGGTTGACATCCTGCAAAGAGTCAGCCAGTGGCCCTTTTACAGCTTCACCTGGGAGCAAAGAGGATGAGGAGGGCTTCATCAAGGCCGTTCTTCTCAGGAGCCAGCCTCCTTGATGGGCGCTGGGCCTCCCGCCTCTGCCCACCTGGACTCGGGGTGCCAGGTGGCCCAGGAGAAAGGATGCCGGGTCCCGGAGTCAGACCAACCCAGGTTCCATTCCAGGCTCCAGCCCTCAGCTGGGCGATCAGTCACTTCCGCCTCTGCCTCGTTGCCCCTCAAAGGGAGAGATTCATATTCGCTCATCCATTTATCGGAGCTTGGGGGACAGAGGAGTGGTAACACCAAGCTGCCCTGTGCCTCAGTTTCCCCACGTGTAAAGCAGAGGGGATACTGGTGTCCACTCACAGGGCTTTGTGAGGATGGCGAATTAAGACTGTCTATGAGAGGCACTCAGGATGTGCCGGGCCCAGGAAAGTGCTGAACAAGCATTAGCTGCTAGTATTCCCTACCTTGTAGGATCCAGCTGGGCTATGTGAAGCTCTCAGCCCTGGGCATGGCTCACAGTGGCATTCCCCCCTAATTTCCCACAAGCCCCCAAGCCCTGCCCCTGTTGTGGGCTGCCAACCCACTGCCCTCCATCCCAGGTGAGATGTACCCCCTGTGAGGGGGCACATTGCAGGCCCCGGGGAGGGTATATGGGGGATTCGGGCTCAGCCTGAACGAGGGCCCCGTGGTGGAACCCAGAGAGGGCCTGGCAGCCTCCCTGCTGGGGGACGGCCAGGGGGACCCGTCTGGTTTGAATTCCCGGCGCCGCTTGCTCGCTGCACCAACCCGCAGCCTGGCTCTGAGCTGCCAGGCCCGTGCCTTATTTGGGTCTCATCTGCCCCCAGGCGACACTGCGTGGCCTTAAAAGGCAGGCCCGGGGGTAGTGGGGAGAGGGGGCAGTTGCCACTGCTGGCTCCAAAGCCCCTCCAGCTGCGCCCTGCTCCCCTGGCTTGGCCGGCCCAACCCGCCAGCTGTGGAGAAATCCAGGCCCCCAAAGCCAGACCAGCCAGAATGGGCTGCTCCTCACAGGGGTGGGCTCCTGGAATGGGCCCCCCCCCGTACCCTCCCAGGCAGCCAGCTGCCCTCTGGTTTTCATTTAAAACCAGAGCTGGATCCACTTTGGTGTTTTCTTACCAAGTGGGGCAGCGAGAGGGTGGATGGTGACGATGCTGTGTTTATTTACCGCCGACTGCATGCCAGGCCCCCGTGTGCTCAGAGGGCCCTCTGCACGCATGGCCGGCCTCAGGCCTCACGCCAGCCCGGAAGGTGTATAGAGGGCCTCATGACCCCATTTTACAGATGGGAACATCGGCAGGTCCAGGGAGAACAAGCCACACAGGCCCGACAGCGGCAGGGCTGGGACCTGACCCCGAATCTCTTGGCTCAAGCTCTGAGCCCAGGCAGCTTGCTGGGCTTGTTGGAGAAGCGCCCGGCCACCCCTCACCATCATCAGCCCCTCCCCAGCCCCATAAGGCTGACAGCCTTGTCCCAGCTCGGCCCACTTCACGCTGTGTGACTCTGTTAAACCGTCCCACCTCTCTGGGCCTCCGTCTTGCTCTGCACCAAGGGGAATAGCGATCCCCGCTGTGGCTACAGCAGTTGGGGGGGAGCAACAAAACGTCACGGCCAGCAGGCCCTCACCCTCGCTGCCCTCAGTTGCAGGCTCCTCTGGCTTCGTGGAGCCCGGGTGGTCGGGCAGCGCCACGCGGCGGATGGCACTTCAGCGCACAGGCTTCTCAGGTGGGTCCCAGGGCAGCTGCTTGGGGTCCCCCTGGGCCAGGGGAGGCTGGAGGGGCTGGTGGTGACTGTCCTAAAAGCCAGCTGGGTCCAGCAGTGGAGCACCCTGCCCCCATCCACTGCAGGCTGGAAAGAAAACTAGGGGTGGGATGAGGAAGGGCTCCCCGAGGGGAGTCTGCCCTGGGCCCAGGCACCCGAGACCCAGGACCCCCAGAGTCTTGCAGACATGGGTCCAAGCCCCCAGTTTCCTTTTCATTGAAAGAACATCTGTCTGAGCGACTGCAGGGTGAGAAGCCCCACGCCAGGAGCTTTCCATGGTCGCCTTGTATAAAGCTCCCCCCAGGACGGTGCCACCGTCGCTGAGGGTCAGAGAGGGGATGTGTCCTGCCCAGGACCCCACGGCCCGGGCGGGGCAGCGCTAGGCTTCCACCCCAGGCTTTGTGCTTGGGGAGACCCCAGGTCCCTTTGCCTGAGCTCAGCGTCCTGGTGTGCACAGGGTGATACCTGTCCTCACACGCAGGATCGTGGTGAAGACCAGAGAGACGCGCGTGTAGCGTGCTCGGCTGCTGCTGACACTGCTGTGAATAACGTCGGGGTGTCGCTGAGGAGGCCGGGGGGCTGGATGGTGGTTCTGGGGGAAGGCTCAGAGGGTGGCCTGGGGGTCCAGCGCAGTCTGGACTGTGTGGGGTCCTCAAAGCCAGCATACCACGGCCAGCCCTGCCCGGGGGAGGGGGAAGCAGCAGGCATTCCCTCTCCGCCCCACCCCGTTTGGGATGAGGAGTCGGGTCCCTGGTCCTGCCCTGGGAGAAACAGTCCGCTTGGAGGCTCGGGAGCCAAAGGACACCCGCAGGGCGTGGTCCACCCTGGACAGGCTGTGACTCTGTAGCCCCGTCCCTGCCCTGAGCTGTCTCATGGATTGGGGTCATCAGGTATCTGTCCCCTCCCTCCATCCTGCCCCCAGGAATCTGGGAGCCCCAACCCAGCCTGCTTCCTCTCCACAGGTTGTCTCAACTGCAGCAAAGTGTCGGAGCTGACAGAGCGGCTGAAGGTGCTGGAGGCCAAGGTGGGTGAGCACCTTGCCTGCCAGGCAGGCACCACCCTCCCCCCAGTGCCCGCCCTGGGAAGCCTGCTCACGGTCAGACAGCCTGCTCTCCCTCCAGGAGGCCCGTGAAGCTCTCCCAGCCCCAACCCCTCCCAGAGACTCCTAGACGCCCCCCAGAGCTTATAAATGAGTCCCCTCATTGCCCCAACACCTTCATCCTTTATCCCCCACCCTCACCACAATGCCATCTTCCCATTTCCAAAAAGCAAAAACATGTACTGCATGTCTCAAATTATCTCAAGATAAAAAGATTTTAACAACTAAAAAGTAAGACATCCTAAATTTAGAAACATGAAAAACTCAGAACCACAATCAACCTACCAGAAAACCATCGGCCTCGGTCGCCTATGCCCCCCAAAGAGAGCAACTGCCAACATCGAAGCATCTTTTCTTCCAGATTTTCTAAAGACATGTAGAGACTTTTAAACTTTATCTGTATATCCATCGCCTCCTCCTGGAATTTATCTTGAGATTAGATTCTAAGATGTTCACCCGAGTGTTAACTCTTCAGAGGGAGATTTGAAAACCCAACAACAGAAGGGGTGGTTGCCGACTGAGCGAACATGGCTCGGTGGAATGCTAGGCAGCCATGAACAACGCCTACATTTGCTAACATGGAAAGATGCCCCTGATGTATGACTATCAAATGGAAAACCCAAGTTTCTAAACAACATGGGGTAGAACCCCTGTTATGAGGTATGAACACCCCCAGAACCTCACCCTGCTCCCCAAGCTCCCTCCCAGGGAAAGCTGGCTTAAGGGGCAGCTCCGCTCAGTTCCAGGTTAGCCGCCCTCTGGGTAGGCACACACGGCCCTCACCTCCTACTTAGCAGGCAGTCTGGCCTTTCTTAAGCCCCGATCAGTGGCTCAGTGGACACTGTTGACCGTTCAGGCCCTTCCCCCCTCACTGAGTCCAAACAATGGGTTTTTGTTTGTTTATGTTTTTTACTTTTTGGTTGCACCAAGAAGCACGTGGCATCTTAGCTCCCTGACCAGGGGTGGAACCCGTGCCCCCTGCAGGGGGAGCACAGAGTCTTAACCACTGGACCCCCAGGGAAGTCTCCAAAAGTGGTTTTGTACACACCTCTGCACTTCTGTTTCATGACAGACCCTCCCGAATTTCCCTTCAAATTTCGTAAAAAATCCTTCCAACCTGTGGTGTTTTAAGACACCAAGAGAAATGCCATGTTATATATGCATGTAAATGTATTTAAATATACATACTCACATGCAGGTAAACACAGGAAAAAACTGCACAGCCTAGCAAACACGGGGACAGTCTCAGAAGCCAACGTGGGTGGCTGTGATAGCCTGTGATGACTTTCCTACAATGAATGTGATGAACTGTGCAGTCGGAAAACCACAGACACTTCTGATGAAGTTCTGGGCCCCTGTGAGCCTGGTCTCCAATCCAGGCTGGGTTCTGCTGGCCGCCTGGCCTCCCAGCCCCGCCTCCACGGGGCGAGCTGGCCTGTCCCTGGTGAGACGCTGGTCCCACCCCACCGTCCTCTTCCTCCACAGGTGGCGGTGCTGACTGTCACGGAGCGGGCAGTGCCCCCGACCCCAGCTGCCCCTGAGGACCCCGCCCCGCTCTGGGGTTCCCCAGCCGCCCAGGGCAGCCCCGGGGATGGAGGCCTCCGAGGTGAGTGGGTCAGTGGGGAACGCGCTCCTGCCTGGGAATGAGCTGCGGGGAGCGAGATTCCAGCCCGCGCTGCCGCTGGCTCCCAGCTTGACCCCCATGCGGGCCTCAGTCTTTCCAGCTCGCCAATGTGTCTCCAGGGGCCCCTGAGCACTGGGGTCCAGGGAGGCCCGGCAGCTGGTGGAGCTGGGGCAGAAGCCCTGGGTAACACTAACCCCCGCCTAACCCCCCCCCCACCCCAGGGCTGCCGGGAAGCAGAGAAAACCAGAGGCCCCCTCTGCTCCCTCGAGATGGTAGGTGCTGGTGTGGGCGGGGCCGGGGCGTGGCCGGGGCGGGGCTGAGCAAGGCCGGAGCTGTCCAGCTGTTGCCTTTTCTCCCCCCAGATCGAGTTGGTGCCCGGGGGCTTCCTGGGCCCGCTGGCCCCAAGGGAGACCCTGGCAGCCGGGGCCCGATGGGGATGAGAGGCCCACCAGGTGAGTGCCCACAGCACTGCCCCTTCTAGCAGTACCCCCTCGCAGGAGGGCCTGCCTTCCCACCCTGATGTAACAGAGGTGGCCTGGGCCTCTTTCCGCTCACCCATCTCCTGACTTACCCCTTCTCCAAAGGTGCCCGCCACCCCCCACCAACGCCTGGGCCCCCTGCAACCTGCTTTTGCATTCACTTGGCCCATCCACCTGCTATCCTATTCCCAGCTTGAAGCCGGACGCGTGGGGGTGGGTCGGACCAGACCCTGCCCTCCCGGGGTTCCCAGGCGAGGGAGGCCAGGGAGGGTGGGCCTGGGCAGAGGAGGAACAGCAGTGCCCCGCTCCACGGGACCATGGTTCTTGTGGGGGCCGTGGCTGCTATGGGAGCCCCAGGGAAGGAAGCCCAGACCCTGCCTGGGTGGGGTGGGGGGTGGGAAGGGCTTCCCAGTGGGAGCGACACCTTAGATGAGGCCTAGGATGACCTGAAATGCATGCCAGGCCGCATAAAGGGAGGACCAAGAGAGGGAGCAGCTCGTGCAAAAGCCTGGAAGAGAGAGGACATTCTGGAAATCAGCATCTGCTCAGCACCTACTGTGTACCAAGTGTCCACTGTCCTCATGACGGCTGGGGAGGCAGTGACGGGAGCTGCCCTGCTTGTGGCCCCTGGCACCCTCTGTACCCACTGCCCCAGGCGGCCCCCTCCCTCCCCCTTTCAGCCATCCCGAGCCTCCCTGCCTCCAGCACACCCACCAAACCCTGGTTCCATTGCAGGTCTGCAGGGCCCCCCAGGGAGCCCTGGCCAGTCGGGAGCTGTGGGCATCCCCGGAGAGAGGGGACCTCCAGGGCCCCCAGGCCCTCCTGGCCCCCCTGGGCCCCCAGCGCCTGTTGGACCACCCTACACCCGGATCTCCCAGCATGGTGAGTCGCTTGGGGTCACAGCAGGCCCAGCTGGCGGTGGGGTGAGGCTGGCGTGACCATCTGCTGGGCAGCTTCTGTATACCAGGCTTGCCCTTGGGCCACCCCTCCAATGGGCACCATTGTCAGGAAGACCAAGGGCCAGAGCGGGGAGATCACACAGCCAGGGCCCGAGAGGCTGGCTTCAGATCCTTGCAGCCTCCACAGCCTCTGCTGGGAACCACCGGCGTCAGGCCCTCCCACCAAGCCTCGGAGCTGGCCGGGATCCAGCCCACAGAGCTCCGGGAAGCTCAAGGCCTGGCAGCAGGACGTCAGCCCTGAACTCCCAAGGCCACAGCCCTGCCCCAGTGCTCAGAGAGGCCTGGCCCCTTCTGCCCAGCTGGATCCTGCCGTGCCTCCTCCTTCGAAGCCTGACCGGCATGCCTGCTGCTGGGGTCGGCGTTTAGAGTGCCAGGTTCAACCCCATCCGCATCATACTTTTGCTGTGAGACCAGGCACCATTCATTCGTTCCCCGCCCCCCACCAAGCCTCGGTTTCCTCATCTGTGCCATAGAGATTGTGACGGTGCTGGGTCCCAGGGCTCTATGACACCCGTGCACAGAAGCTGGGCACAAAGCCGGCGTCAAAGATGGTAGCTTCCTCGACTTCCCTGGAGGGCCAGGTGGCTGAGTCTCTGCACTCTCAGAGTGCGGAGGCCCAGCTTCAATCCCTGGTCAGGGAACTAGATCCCACATGCCACAGCTAAGATTTCACACATGGCAACAAAGACCCAGTGTAGCCAAATAATTTCTGTTTTTATTGGTAGCATTCATTATTATTCCCATCAGACCTGTGACAGTCCAGGTTCAGAGAGGTAGAATCTTGCTGGATGTTAGCAGCTAGACTGTGGCAGTTAGAACCCAGGTCTCCCTGCAGCCTGGTCCTGTGTAACCTGCGCTTCCCCCACCACCCGCCTTGGCGCAGGTTACGGTGGCCCCAGCCACAGCCTAGGAACTGCCCCACAGGGGGCACAGCAGTTAAAGCTGGCTTGGCAGAAGAGACAGGTTGACTGTCTGCCTCACACCGCCCCGCGCAGCTCCGCCCTGCTTGCTCACCGTCCTTTCTCCCCCAGGGGACCCGTTTCTGTCCAACACCTTCACTGAGACCAGCAGCCACTGGCCCCAGGGACCAGCTGGGCCCCCAGGCCCCCCAGGACCCATGGGTAAGTTGAGTCCAGGCCTGGGGTAAGGGGCAGGGCTGGCCGTGAGGAGGGCACTGAGGGTGGAACTTCCTGGTGCTGTACTGTTTTGAACCTGAGGACATGCTGTCTGATTCCAGGTCCTCCTGGACTTCCTGGTCCCATGGGGATTCCTGGGAGTCCTGGACATATGGTGAGCATTTCTCCAAGTTCTCCACTCATCTGTCCATCCACCCCTGACCCAACCCACCCATCCACTCACCCTATCTACCCACCCACTCATCCATCCACCATCCATTCCTCTATCCTTCACTCATTCACTCGAGCCGCCATGGAGCACTTAATGTGCAAACTACTTTCCGTGAATCTTATTCAGTCCACATGGTAAGGAACAGGTGTTGTTATCACCCAAGGACAAGAAAGGAGGTGGAGATTCTTGCCCTAGGGCTGTGGCCAGCACCTGGCAGCTTCCAGATCAAAGTGGGGACTGCCTGACTCCACCGTAGCTTGAACACTGACCTGTGTCAACTTCCCACTCCGGGCAGGCCGCCGGCTATGTGGCGAAGGGCCCAGAGGCCCAGACCAAGCTGGGGAACCCTCCCCTGCCCCTCTGCACCCCAAGTTCCTGCCCACTCCACCCTGCCCTGGCACAAGGCTGAGGCCCTGTCTTGTTGCTCAGGGACCCCCAGGCCCTACTGGACCCAAAGGAACCTCCGGCCACCCTGGAGAGAAGGGCGAGAGAGTGAGTACTGAGGAGGAGGTGGAGGATTCTGGGGAGTCCTGGGAGCCCCGGGTCAGACCCTCTGACAGCTCACTCCATTCCTCTCCTCCCTCCTGCAGGGACTGCGGGGGGAGCCTGGCCCCCAAGGCTCCATGGGGCAGCGGGTAAGTGACGCTGCTCAGCCGGCAGCACCTCTTCAGGAGCCCACAGGCCCAGACCCCAGCCATGGCTCCATCCCCTGGGGCCGAGCCCCCGACCCTCCCGGGGTGGTCCAGCGTGAGCTCCAGCTCCATCCTTGCCCCCATGTCAGGGTCCCATCAGCCACCTCCGTCTCCCCCGCTCTGGCTCTGTGTCTCTGGACCGCTTTCTCCGTCTGCCCTTTGCGTGTCCTTCTCTCTGACTCTCTAGTTCTCTCTTTGTCTCTCCCACTCTGGTTGTGGATTTGTCTATTTCTCCCTTTAGTTTGTCTTCCGTAGTGGTTCATACAGTAAAGAGTCTGCCTGCAGTGCAGCAGACCCAGGTTCCATCCCTGGTCGGGAAGATCCCCTGGAGAAGGAAATGGCAACCCACTCAAGTATTCTTGCCTGGAAAATTCCATGGATGGAGGAGCCTGGCAGGCTATAGTCCACGGGGTCGCAAAGATTCGGACACGACTGAGCAACTTCACTCCCTTTAGTTTGGTCAATTTATGCTTCATATTTTTTTTTAATTTATTTATTTGGCTATGCCCGGGCTTAGTTGCGGCCTGTGGGATCTAGTCCCCTGACCAGGGATGGAACCCAGGCCCTCTGCATTGGGAACAGTCTCAGCCACTGGACCACCAGGGAAGTCCTTGCTTCATGTATTTTGAAGCTTTGTTATTAGATGCATACTCAGTCAAGATTTTAATGTCCTCTTGGTCTTTTTATCTTTATGAAATGAATATCTTTCTCTTTGATAACACTTCTTGTCTTGAATTCTACTTTGTTTGATATTAAAATAGCCACTCAAGCTTTTTTTATGCTTGCTGTCTGCATGGTATGTGTCTTCCAATCCTTTTACTTTCAACGTATTTGTGTCCTATTTAAAGTACATCTTGTAAAAAAGACGTGTACTTGTGTCTTACTCTTTGAAACAGTCTGACTATTGAGTTCATTACATTTAATGGTATGTATCCCTACTGATATGCGGGAGGCCTGTGTTCAATCCCTGGGTCGGGAAGATCCCCTGGAGAAGGGCATGGCAGCCCACTCCAGTATTCTTGCCTGGAGAATCCCATGGACAGAGGCGCCTGGCGGGCTACAGTCCACGGGGTCACAGAGCGTCGGACTCGGCTGAGCGACTGAGCACACATCTCATCGCTACTGATACGGTTTGGTTTAAGTCAACCATCTTGCTGCTTGTGTTCGTTTCTCCAGTCTCTCCTTGACTTCTTTTTTCCCTCTTCTTTTCCTGTCTTCTTTTGGATTGAGAATTGTTTACAACTCTGTGTTATCTCCGCTAATGATGTTTTTATTATACCTCTTTGTGTTATTCTTCTGTGGTTGCTCTAAGGATAACAAAATGTGTCCTTGACTTAGCACCATTTACTTGAATTATGATACCTCTCCGTGTATAAGTAAGAACATCACAAATGTTCAATTCACCCCCTTCTGTCCTTGTGCTGTTGCTGTCACGTATCACACTTCTGTATTTGTTTTAAGCCCGCAATACGCTGTCGCTATTGCTTTAAACAACCAGTTGACTTTTAAAGAAGTTTAAAAAATGAAAAAAAAAAGTATTTTACATCTAATGATGTGTTTGTCATCTCTGATACTCTCCATACCTTCCTTTAGGTTCGGATTTTCATGCAGTATCATCTCTCTTCAGCCTAAAGAACATCCTTTAGCCTTTCTTGTAATGTGTGTCTGCTGGCAACAAGTCCTCACTGCTGTTGTTTATCTAAAACTGTCTCTATTTAACCTTAATCTTTGGAAGTTATTTTCACTGGCTATGAAATGATAGGTTGGCAGTTTCCTCCCCCTTTAGTACTGTAAATATATTGTTCCGTGGTCTTCTGGTTTACGTAGACCATTATAATTTCTCATGAGAAACTGGCTGTTGTTCCTACTGTTTTTCCCCAGTGCATATAATTTATTTATTTGGCTATGCCCGGGCTTAGTTGCGGCCTGTGGGATCTAGTCCCCTGACCAGGGATGGAACCCAGGCCCTCTGCATTGGGAACAGTCTCAGCCACTGGACCACCAGGGAAGTCCTTGCTTCATGTATTTTGAAGCTTTGTTATTAGATGCATACTCAGTCAAGATTTTAATGTCCTCTTGGTCCTTTTATCTTTATGAAATGAATATCTTTCTCTTTGATAACACTTCTTGTCTTGAATTCTACTTTGTTTGATATTAAAATAGCCACTCAAGCTTTTTTTATGCTTGCTGTCTGCATGGTATGTGTCTTCCAATCCTTTTACTTTCAACGTATTTGTGTCCTATTTAAAGTACATCTTGTAAAAAAGACGTGTACTTGTGTCTTACTCTTTGAAACAGTCTGACTATTGAGTTCATTACATTTAATGGTATGTATCCCTACTGATATGCGGGAGGCCTGTGTTCAATCCCTGGGTCGGGAAGATCCCCTGGAGAAGGGCATGGCAGCCCACTCCAGTATTCTTGCCTGGAGAATCCCATGGACAGAGGCGCCTGGCGGGCTACAGTCCACGGGGTCACAGAGCGTCGGACTCGGCTGAGCGACTGAGCACACATCTCATCGCTACTGATACGGTTTGGTTTAAGTCAACCATCTTGCTGCTTGTGTTCGTTTCTCCAGTCTCTCCTTGACTTCTTTTTTCCCTCTTCTTTTCCTGTCTTCTTTTGGATTGAGAATTGTTTACAACTCTGTGTTATCTCCGCTAATGATGTTTTTATTATACCTCTTTGTGTTATTCTTCTGTGGTTGCTCTAAGGATAACAAAATGTGTCCTTGACTTAGCACCATTTACTTGAATTATGATACCTCTCCGTGTATAAGTAAGAACATCACAAATGTTCAATTCACCCCCTTCTGTCCTTGTGCTGTTGCTGTCACGTATCACACTTCTGTATTTGTTTTAAGCCCGCAATACGCTGTCGCTATTGCTTTAAACAACCAGTTGACTTTTAAAGAAGTTTAAAAAATGAAAAAAAAAAGTATTTTGCATCTAATGATGTGTTTGTCATCTCTGATACTCTCCATACCTTCCTTTAGATTTGGATTTTCATACAGTATCATCTCTCTTCAGCCTAAAGAACATCCTTTAGCCTTTCTTGGAATGGCAACAAATCCTCACTGCTGTTGTTTATCTAAAACTGTCTCTATTTAACCTTAATTTTTGGAAGTTATTTTCACTGGCTATGAAATGATAGGTTGGCAGTTTCCTCCCCCTTTAGTACTGTAAATATATTGTTCCGTGGT